CTGATATCCCATATAACCTGCCGATTTGAGGTATTTTGAAGGCCTCAAAAGCATTTTCGAGGTTATAAATCATTTGTCAAAAAAATTACGAAAAGTCTACTTTATGATTTATTTCCTAATTATCAGTGCCTCTTTATATTCATTATATTATCGTATTTAATTAAATTTTCAAACCTCTATTGTCAGTATTATAAAGGTCTTGGCAATATTTTTCAAATCAAACTTTTAGAAGACCATGTTTGTGAAAAAAATCCTATTTCAATTAATCTATATCCGTCTGTGTATGTGGCCGTTCGTTAAAATTGCAATAAAGGCGAAATATTTAGGTTAATCGTTGAACATTTATACAATATTCCTAGGAAGTTAGAATATATACGTTTCGTTTAGGTATAATAATACAGATAAACATTCGTCCTTTTGTATGTTTTTGTTATAATTTCCACCGAATTAACTGTAATTCGGCAAGCAGTTCTCAACTGATGTGTTACTATATTTTTTAAATTGCATACATATAAATTTAAAGAAGTATGTGTGGCCAGTTCCTCTGATCCCAAACAGATACCTAGGGTTAGAGGGAGAGTCAAGAGTACGTCATATACTAACTATGGAACAAATATCTTCATTATTTTGACAAATATTAGGATCTTAGGTAACTCGAAAAATGGGCGTAAAAGTGGGTGTTGTCATAAAAACCAAACTCGGGGTAGGATGAATATTTTAAAAAAATATTCAAATCTGTCCTGCCGTTCTTAGCTGATTCGATTACCAACAAACAACAATTGATACATACATACATATAAAGGGTGATTTTTTTGAGGTTAGGATTTTCATGCATTAGTATTTGACAGATCACGTGGGATTTCAGACATGGTGTCAAAGAGAAAGATGCTCAGTATGCTTTGACATTTCATCAAGAATAGACTTACTAACGAGCAACGCTTGCAAATCATTGAATTTTATTACCAAAATCAGTGTTCGGTTCGAAATTTGTTTCGCGCTTTACGTCCGATTTAAGGTCTACATAATCGACCAAGTGAGCAAACAATTAATGCGATTGTGACCAAGTTTTGCACTCAGTTTACTTTATTGGACATTAAACCAACCACACGAATGCGTACAGTGCGTACAGAAGAGAATATTGCGTCTGTTTCTGAGAGTGTTGCTGAAGACCGTGAAATGTCGATTCGTCGCCGTTCGCAGCAATTGGGTTTGTGTTATTCGACCACATGGAAGATTTTACGCAAAGATCTTGGTGTAAAACCGTATAAAATACAGCTCGTGCAAGAACTGAAGCCGAACGATCTGCCACAACGTCGAATTTTCAGTGAATGGGCCCTAGAAAAGTTGACAGAAAATCCGCTTTTTTATCGACAAATTTTGTTCAGCGATGAGGCTCATTTCTGGTTGAATGGCTACGTAAATAAGCAAAATTGCCGCATTTGGAGTGAAGAGCAACCAGAAGCCGTTCAAGAACTGCTCATGCATCCCGAAAAATGCACTGTTTGGTGTGGTTTGTACGCTGGTGGAATCATTGGACCGTATTTTTTCAAAGATGCTGTTGGACGCAACGTTACGGTGAATGGCGATCGCTATCGTTCGATCGAAATGGAAGAACTGAACTTGGTTGACATGTGGTTTCAGCAAGATGGCGCTACATGCCACACAGCTCGCGATTCTATGGCCATTTTGAGGGAAAACTTCGGAGAACAATTCATCTCAAGAAATGGACCGGTAAGTTGGCCACCAAGATCATGCGATTTGACGCCTTTAGACTATTTTTTGTGGGGCTACGTCAAGTCTAAAGTCTACAGAAAAAAGCCAGCAACTATTCCAGCTTTGGAAGACAACATTTCCGAAGAAATTCGGGCTATTCCGGCCGAAATGCTCGAAAAAGTTGCCCAAAATTGGACTTTCCGAATGGACCACCTAAGACGCAGCCGCGGTCAACATTTAAATGAAATTATCTTCAAAAAGTAAATGTCATGGACCGATCTAACCTTTCAAATAAAGAACCGATGAGATTATGCAAATTTTATGCGTTTTTTTTTTTTTTTTTTTTTAAAAAGTTATCAAGCTCTTAACAAATCACTCTTTATATATAGATTAAAAAGTAGTCGAGGTCAGTTTCTCTGCCCGAATAAATACTTAGGGTTGGATGGAAAGTCAACAGTATCTCGTGTAATAATTTTCAATTGTTGTTCGTTGGTAATGGAATCAGATGAGAACGGCTGGACCGATTTGCATTATTTTTTGGTACAAACGTTCGTCATACCCCGAGTTAGGTTTTTAAAGAAAAAATATTGGCAACGCCTCCTTACGCCCACTATTTCAATTCATCTAAAATCCTTATATTTGCCAAATAATAGAGATATCGGCTTGAATATTATTATACGAGATACAGTTGACCTTCCATCCAGTCCTAGTATTTATTTGGCCGCTGGGGAGCTGACCAAATTTACTTTTTAATCTATATATAAGAATCATTTTTTTTAATATTTTATTCTACCCCAAATTAGGTTTTTATTCAAAGAAAAAGTGGCCACGCCCAATTTTACGCCAATTTTTTTTTTTTTGATTTACCTAAATCCTAATATTTGCCAAAATCATGAAAATATATGTTCCACAGTTGGTAGGGTAAGTTCGGCATGTCCCAGTAGTCGACAGTTTTGAAATTTAAACTTAAATAACTAAGAATAGAATTGACCAAATAATGAATTAATTGCAAAAAAACGTTAACCGTGTTCTCTACTCACTTTCTGAAAAAATAAATGAGCTCCTATCATTTATTACGAGAGAATAACGGTTTTTGTCAGTGAGTATCTTCCAACACGTGTGATAGTGCTTGTTTGTAAAGAAAAAAAATAGTGGTGGCGTCAACTTAATAATCGATTTAAGTAAATTAAATTTAATACTTTTGGAATCAGAAATATTAAATAACAGTCTGAAGATCACTTTTATAACTTAAAAACATACAAATCAAGCATTTTTCTGTTATATTATTTAATGCCGACATTAGGAACAGAAAAAAAGAGATTTGCCAGTAGTCGGCAGGCGATGCCGATTACTAGAAAAATATCATTTTTCACCAATTTCACCATAACTTAAGAAAAGTATTAAAAAATAATGCAAAAACTACTCAAATAAATGAATAATTTTTAGTCGGCAATTGCTTTTATTTGTGCTTTTTGACCAACTTTTCTAAATTAAGTAGGTTTTTTAAACCAGCTATTTGACGTTTTATATAGCGGTCGCATTTTTGAAAAAAAATGTGGCCTATCTAAATGAAAGAGATAAATTCACAAAATCCAAATATAAGAAAGGTACTTTTTTCTTTTTTTATTTAATCTCATTTTTATTTTTATTGAAAATCCATACGTTACTTGATTTTCTATCTACATTTCGTTTAGAATGATAATTAAATAAAACACTATTTAAAAACGAAATTAATTTCAAATTCTGGATTAAAATGTGAATTTGAAGTATATCACAGTTTTATACTATTTGAAATAAAAAAATATACAAAATAATTTTTTTTTACTGATATACCACATGCCGACTACTGGCAAATAGACATGTCGAGCATTGGAAAATGGTGTCGACTACTGGCAAAAAACTACCATTTTAGTAAAATTGCAAATTTTGCCAATTTAATAAAAACAAATTCAATTATGTTTTATTATTTCGAAAACTAAACAAAATTTGGAATCTGAACAACTTTATTTTTCTGCAATTGAAAGATTTCACTCAGAATGTTGAAAGATTGAAAAATCGAAAATTCAAAAAATGCCGACTACTGGTACACTTATCCTATGTGCCGTAATCTTGACTCTCCCTCCAACCTTAGGTATCTGTTTGGCGTCAGAGGGACTGCCCACACCTACTTCTTTAAATCTGTATGTAAAAAAATTAAAAAAGTATAGTAACACATTAGTTGAACGGCTGGGCCGATTTGACTCAAATTTTCTTTTGGTTATTTGTAAATACAGTAGAAACGTTTTCATGAAAGAAAATGTTGAGAAAAGATTCTATAAAAATCGCGCAACTGAAAAAATTGACTTTTTCATTTTGATATGGAGTCTTGTGTAGAATTGTTTTAAAATGCCTTTTGGAATTTAAAATTCTTATTGAAAAAAAAAAACGAAAAAATTGAGAAATTTTGCATATTTTCCATACATGCCGTTATATGTTTGTAACGAATATAAAGAGGTACTGGGGAATACAAAATAAATTATAAAGTGGACTTTTGTTGTTATTCTCTGACAAATGATTTATAACCTGAAAATGCTTTTGAGCCCTTCAAAATACCTAAAATTTAGAGCACATTTGGTCGATGAATATTGGGAGATAGTATTATATGAAGGATATATTTTTATACCAATCCGTTGGACTATTGGGTCTGGAGTATTTTGCCACTTTTGGATTTATATTTATAAATGCACCCTATGATCTATTTATATCAGCGTTCGAAAATGAACAGTACACAAACATAGTGTACTATACCGGTACAGTATTACAAAAAATTAGCGGTAGTGTAGCGGTACACTCGGAACACAAGGATGATCGTAGTGTACCGCAGTCGGAACACTAAAAAATCGTAGTGTACCGGAGTCGGAGTACTAAAAAAAGTAGTGTTCCGCAATCGGAGCATTAAAAAAATCGTAGAGTACCACATGTACAACATAAAAAAATGGAAATCATAAATCCCAATGAATTTTGCATTTTGAGTTCTCATTGGATGGATTATTTCCATATCTAATCAAAATTGAAATTTTGGGTATGGCAACCATATAACAGCATATATAGGAAATATGCAAACATTCTCGATTTTTTCGGTATTTTTCAATAAGAATTTTCAATTCCAAAAGGAATTCTGAGACGATGCTACACAAAATTCCATATTATAATATTATAATTTTTTCAGTTCCGCGATATTTTTCAAAATTGTCTTCCATGACAACGTTTCCACTGTAATTACAAATAATGATGAGAAAAGATTCGTTGTATTGCAATTTGTAAACAAACAAAATAATCGGGTTTACTTGCAAAGAGGTCAGGTGAATATGTGCACCTCAAGCGCCTGCCATGGTGATGGTGTGGGCAGCCTTAACAGCCGATAGTCGCTCTCCGCTCGTATTAATCGACCGTGGCATCAGAATAAATGCCGAATATTATCGCGATATAACCTTGGACATTCCAACTCAGCATCATTGCACTCAGCACGCGCCACCAAATAATGGTTACAAAATGAGGTTCCTCTCTTCATTTCCAGCGCACAATGGCCACCAAAATCTCCGGATACCAATCCGTTAGACTATTGAGTCTGGAGTATTTTGCCACTTTTGGATTTATATTTATAAATGCACACTATGATCTATTTATATCAGCGTTCGAAAATAAACAGTACACAAACATACAGCCAGTTCCACGATATCGAAATAACACGTTCGCACAATTTTTACACGACAAACAGCTGATTTCCGTTCCCCTAAAATCTATCTGAACGAAAATTTGCACGAAAATCAAAGCGAACGAAAACGTAAGCATTTCAGTGTAATTTTGCGTTCCACTATCTTTTTTCTTTCGTACGCATGCGAACACAAATGTCAAAATCAGTCACTTGTGTGTTTGCTATCGTATAATAACAATTAAGGAAAATTGTTTTAACATAAACATTGCTTGATTGAAAATGGAAACAAAAATGTAAGTAAAAATAATAAATGCAATTTAATATGTGAACAACAAATATATTTTTTTTTTATTTTCTCAATTCCAGCACGAAAAAATCATCAACTACACAGCTGCGGGCACTAGTTGAGTAAATGGAGGAGAATCCTGTGTTCGCCAGAGGAATGCCAATTTTTGGAAGCAGCAGAAGAAGTTTTAAATCGGGGCGGATTTGGGTAGTTCTGCAACCGGGCACCCACTTCTCTTCCATCATATCCAAAAGAGCCCGAAAACTTCCTTCGACACACGAAAGATGGCCACAAACCTAGAAAAAATCATTTTTTATTATTTCAAAAATGTAAAAATACAATCATACTTACTGGTTGTTAGGTACTTCAAATAAATTCGAAGCATCTCTTAAATGCCTCCGTGGCACATTTCGAACCTCCTCCATAAAAAATAGGGCTACGGAAATATTTTTTTTTTATTTTCTAAGAGCACGAATAGTTTGAACACAATCACTAGAAATTTTATTTTTTTTTTTTGTTTATTTACAATTTGTTTGTTTACAACTGAAATGTCAGTTGAGACAGAGCCACTGCTACTTTTTCGCGTTTAACTTACAGCCTGTTCCACGATCTCGAAAGAAAATTTGTGCGAACGAAGGCTACTCACTCACTTTCGTATAAGAATGCGTTCCACTAACTTTCGTTCTTTCTTTCGCATAGCCTTACGTGATTCAGTGTTGCTAAATATTTTTTTGGAAAAATTAATCGCGAAATAAAGCAAAAAAAGCGTCAAATGTATAACAGCCAGTTCCACGATATCGAAATAACACGTTCGCACAATTTTTACACGACAAACAGCTGATTTCCGTTCCACTAAAATCTATCTGAACGAAAATTTGCACGAAAATCAAAGCGAACGAAAACGTAAGCATTTCAGTGTAATTTTGCGTTCCACTATCTTTTTTCTTTCGTACGCATGCGAACACAAATGTCAAAATCAGTCACTTGTGTGTTTGCTATCGTATAATAACAATTAAGGAAAATTGTTTTAACATAAACATTGCTTGATTGAAAATGGAAACAAAAATGTAAGTAAAAATAATAAATGCAATTTAATATGTGAACAACAAATATATTTTTTTTTTTATTTTTTCAATTCCAGCACGAAAAAATCATCAACTACACAGCTGCGGGCACTAGTTGAGTAAATGGAGGAGAATCCTGTGTTCGCCAGAGGAATGCCAATTTTTGGAAGCAGCAGAAGAAGTTTTAAATCGGGGCGGATTTGGGTAGTTCTGCAACCGGGCACCCACTTCTCTTCCATCATATCCAAAAGAGCCCGAAAACTTCCTTCGACACACGAAAGATGGCCACAAACCTAGAAAAAATCATTTTTTATTATTTCAAAAATGTAAAAATACAATCATACTTACTGGTTGTTAGGTACTTCAAATAAATTCGAAGCATCTCTTAAATGCCTCCGTGGCACATTTCGAACCTCCTCCATAAAAAATAGGGCTACGGAAATATTTTTTTTTTTATTTTCTAAGAGCACGAATAGTTTGAACACAATCACTAGAAATTTTATTTTTTTTTTGTTTATTTACAATTTGTTTGTTTACAACTGAAATGTCAGTTGAGACAGAGCCACTGCTACTTTTTCGCGTTTAACTTATACATTTGACGCTTTTTTTGCTTTATTTCGCGATTAATTTTTCCAAAAAAATATTTAGCAACACTGAATCACGTAAGGCTATGCGAAAGAAAGAACGAAAGTTAGTGGAACGCATTCTTATACGAAAGTGAGTGAGTAGCCTTCGTTCGCACAAATTTTCTTTCGAGATCGTGGAACAGGCTGATAGTGTACTATACCGGTACAGTATCACAAAAAAAAATAGCGGTAGTGTAGCGGTACACTCGGAACACAAGAATGATCGTAGTGTACCGCAGTCGGAACACTAAAAAATCATAGTGTACCGGAGTCGGAGCACTAAAAAAAGTAGTGTTCCGCAATCGGAGCATTAAAAAAATCGTAGAGTACCACATGCACAACATAAAAAATGGAATTCATAAAACTGATTTTAAACACTCAACCATACTATGTAAAATATTTAGTTTTCACGCCTACATTCATTGATTTTTCTGTACCACAAAATAACAGGTAAATTATTTGCATAATAAGCCATTACAACGCAACCACTTACATACCCTTTTTCGCAGAAAAAAATTAAAAATTTTAATTTTCAATGGCTAAATACAAATTATTGTCACTTCAGATTTGGTCCTTTTTTTCTTTCTACCCGTTCCCATATTTTTCTACTTACTTCAATCGTAACCAATCTAAATATACATGGCAAATAAAATGAATTCAGCTTTTACTTTCATAATATCGAATTGTATTAGTAATTTTTGCATTATTAAAAACATCAAACATCTAATTTTTCTCACAAAACACAAATAACACATATGTGGTACGGTACACATACATACACATACACATACATTACACATTTTTTTTTATGTTCCGCCATGTGGTACAATACGATTTTGTAGTGCTCCGACTGCAGTACACTACGTTTTTCAGTACGATTCTCGTTGTGCTCCAGTGCAGTATCACTAAAATATTTTTTAAGGGTTGTGCTCTTAGTGTATCACTCCACCTCGAAATGGTACAAAACACTACGGTACAGTACCATACTGTTTATTTTCGAACGCTGATTTATATAAATGCACACTACGAACTACATAGTTGTTTGACATAGTTAAAGTGATCTCAAAAACTTCTTTTCTTAAATTATACGTCTTGGAAGTTCCATTCCATGAAAAATCGGTCAAAAACAGTAGGATATACGATATAAAAAACAACGCGTGGGACAAATTTACCTTTATTGAGAGCCTTCTCATTAAAGGGATCTTTTTCCAATTTTGCATCTTTTGAGACGAACTTAAAAACAATTTGCTGTCAAAACTTAAAGACAGGGATGCACTATCGCACACTCACAATTGAGGTAAAAAGTTCCGCCGTTTGTTAAGCGTCTCATAATGAATATTTGGCGTGGATGGCTCATATAATTAATAAGAATAAAGAAAGTTCGGCTCTGTTTCAGAAAAGTTAAATGCTGCAGGGTTTGAGGTATATAAACGCACTTCATCAATACCAATGTTTTAACAATTATTGTAAAGGGAAGTGCTAACATTATAATAAATAGTTTAAAAAAACATTGAGTTTGGCCATGCCGAATTTTTAATACCCTCCACCATTGGACAAAGAAAACATTTTTATTTAAAGTATCTGAAATCAACCGTTTGGATAATGCTATTTTTTATGTGTATGCTTTAGGAAAACGTGGACATAAATATTCAATGTTCTGAAGCTAGAAGCCATTATGAACTACAAGTACCAATTTTTAGACAAGTCTGCCTAGTCTGATGTGTCAAAAACATCAAAATACTGAATATCCTAAGATACCATTATGTGGGCGCTATACGAAAACATGGACCTATACGCCACAGGAACAAGAACCCATTACGAACTACAAACACAAACCGAATATCGAGAGGTACCGTGGTCCTACATATACTATGTCCCGCCACCGAAGCTAGAACCATATTTTTAGAGAAATCCGTGGAAAAATGTTGCAAAAATCATCAAAATACCGAATATCGGTAGGTACCGTTATGTGGGAGCTATACAAAAACGTGGACCTATACGTACAATGTTTCGCCACCGAAGCTAGAACTCATTATGACTTACCGAAAAGAGTGCTTGGATGTTGTAAGGGAGGATTTTAAAATCTTTACATAGAGGATAACTTCGCGACTGAATAATCATAAAGAAGATTTAATACTAAAATGTTGAATATGGATTAAAGTTGGTATGCAGAGCCCTTGAAGATGCCTATTATGAACTACAATTACCAATTTTTAGACAAGTCTGCCGAAAATGTGGCAAAAACATCAAAATACTGAATATCCTAAGATACCATTATGTGGGCGCTATACGAAAACATGGACCTATACGCCACAGGAGCAAGAACCCATTACGAACTACAAATACAAACCGAATATCGAGAGGTACCGTGGACCTACGTATGTCACATATTTAAAACAAATATTTCCGAAATTGTAAAAAAAGCTACTGCTAAAATTTATATTTTTGATTGACTTCTGTTTGACAATAGAAATTTATTTCATATTGATCGAAAAATTAATTGTCCTTCCAAATTAGTAGACATTTTCATATTCATTATAGGGTAAGTGTACCAGTAGCCGGCACTTTTAGGATTCTCGCGTTTTTAATCGCTCACCATTCTGAGTGGAACATTTCAATTATTACAAAATTAATTTATTCAGATTCGAAATTTTGTATAGTTTTTGCAATAATAAATAAAGTTTTAATAACTTTTTATTAAATTTCATAAATTTGTAGTTTTATTAAAACAATGCCTTTTTGCCAGTAGTCGGCACCACTTGCCAATTGTCGGTATGGCATTTTCCAACAGTCGGTGCTTTTAAACTTTACCTTTGACCCTTTTTCCTTTTTTTGTTAACTTATTGGATATTTAATTTGTAATTGTATTTCATGTGTTTTTTTTATTGTAATTCAATTCTTTGTTGTTTGTGTGTATGTACAAATGTTTGATTCGTTTAATGTATAATTTTGTTTGTTATAACTTGATTTGTCTAATTTAGAATTTATTTTATGTTAATTATGTACAATTTTGGAATTCAATTTGTTTTGTGTTTGTACAATGCTAATGTTGTTTTTTATAATGTAAGGTTGTGTAATGTAATTTTAAAATAAAATTTCACTTATTTCTTCGCGGGGTACTTGTTGATTTGGTGATTTTCGCAGGCACTTGTCGCTTCACGGGGCACTCGCTGATTTTAATGTTGTCGCTCTCAAGATGTTTGTCGAACTGTCCGGGAATATTCTGGCTTTGGGCTGCCAGAGCAGTTGAATATTCCAGGATTTATTGGAAAGTGCTTGGATAGCGGCAGCACGTATGCATGTATTTGTTAATATGCACCAATATACATATTGTGTACCGCTAGCCGAAAAATTTAAAATTCAAACGCACAGTAGCGACCAAAAGTATGGTCACTGACCATACATTCTCCGCCCCCATGACTCCGTGCTAATATGCGTCTTTTCACATCGATGGCATGTTCCTAATTGGTCCAGCGAAGACATATCCCAGGTTAGTGTTGTACGCCTGAACACCACCCACTCCAGCCGCGGTACATCCATCTTTTCTTATGGCAGAATACGTGTCTGCGCCTAATTCCAAGTCTATGGGTACATTGCTTCTAGGGTCTGGGTCCGCAAGTGCTTACTCTGTAAAATATGAGGTTGGGTCATCTAGTATGGGGTCTGAATAAATTCGTCTCGGCAGCTCATCTGTCACAAGAGCATTGCCTTCAGCGCCCATGTTGAATTAGATCGCCGGCTCATTATTTTGAAGGTCGTAAATCGACGATCTTGGTATAAAAATGACCTCAGACCCATCCGTTGGAAGGTAGAGTACCCTATGCGGGACATTACAGCTGACTTACTCAGCAACGCCCGTATCGTGTAGTGGGTGTCTATATCTTCGGTGGTAACTCGCAGCATGACAGTGGGTACAAAGACGAGATCCCACGAAAAAGGCGGCTCGTTTATTTAAGCGGTCTGTAGGCTATCCTCGAGCTGTGGCGCCCCATGTAGCATGGTGTGGTGTCGATAATCGCATCGTCGGCAACCCGTAATGCATGGACAATCGGGGGCCAAATGCGATCGTGCCAGACAGTTTCGACAGTATCCCCGCCGCTCAGTGGTTTCGTATCTCTGATACGGAGTTTGGTCTTTAAACCGCTGGCACGAGCTCAGAGCATGGTCCTGCTGACACAGTCCGCAGGAGTACTGCCAATGGCCTGGCCGTGCTCCTCTAGCTCTGGGGGCTGGTCTATTTTCAGAACGGCTACGGTGACTGCGATCAGGACTCGGGCGGCGTTCGAAGTGTCGGGCTGGGTTGCTTCTATTGGGTACTGGTGCTGGTTCGCGGGCTGGGTGGGCTTCTGGTCGATGTGGGTTGCGGTCGGGGCGTTGCGGGCTTCTTTCTGCAATTAAGCGACGGGATTCTCTCCTTTCAGGGCGTCTTGGGCTCTCTTCGTCTCTCCAATTCTGGACTGGTAAATATGCTGCCATCTGTGAAAAAGAGAATAAGGAGTACTAATTCTTTTGAAAGGAGGGGTCCGACTAATTAGTCGGAAAATAACTTGACAACCTTCGTTATGGTTCGGCTGATGTTGCCACCAGCAGTTTTTATGTCTACTACTCTATCATTTTGATCTGTTCCCTGATGGGTCTTGATAATTCTCCCGAGTTTCCACTCATTTGGTGCCAAACGTTCGTCTTTAATCACAACTAAGTCACCTTCTTTAAGGTTATCCTTTTGATATTTCCATTTCGTACGTCGATGAAGCTCATGTAAAT